CCTGAACCAATTTCATTGAAATTTTGCAGAAACCTTCCATGGCCAAAGGTCAACAAAAATAGTGGCCAATTTGGTCCCCAGCCCCCAGGGGCCCGAGGGGCATGGCCAAAAAGTGTCAAATTGACTAAAATTTCAAAAATCTTCTTTTCAAGACCCAGATATTGTAGAATCAAATACTCTTCATAGATGGAAGGGTCTTAGGGTGCTTTACCAGGGGGGGGGGGCAAAATTCATTATGGGTTATAATGGCTAATGATAATTTTAATATTACATGTTAATAACTTGATTGGAATTATAACCCTGAGTTGACAGTTTGATACTTTGAATATTTTGAGCCAGCCCTACCCCCAAGGGCTGTAGGGCTGGGCCCAAAGGAGTCGGTGTGCTAAAATTTCTTCATTTCCTTGTTTAGAATCAGAGGTGCTAGTTTCAAATACTTTTTAGTCTTAAATCTGTATTTCTGTTCGTGTTAAAAAGAAAACCAACTCTCTGTATATATGTATCAGGTGACCGTTAAGGCCCATGGGCCTCTGGTTTATTTGCTGATAAATAACTAAAGTTTGATCTAAGATTATCTGCTTATTAAATCCATGCCCTTGATCTTAACGATCTGATAATCTATGCCCTTGGTTTTAAAGATCTGCTTATCTATACCCTTGCTCTAAAAGATCTCATCTATGCCTTTGATCTTAAAGATCGGCTAATCTAATACCCTTGATCCAAAAGATCTCATCTATGCCTTTGATCCTAAAGATCTGCTAATCTATGCCCTTGATCTAAAAGATCTCATCTATGCCTTTGATCTTAAAGATCTGCTAATCTAATACCCTTGATCTAAAAGATCTCATCTATGCCTTTGATCTTAAAGATCTGCTAATCTATGCCCTTGATCTAAAAGATCTGCTATAATTTATGTCCTTGATCTTAAAGATCTGCTATAATCCATAACCTTGATCTTAAAGATCTGCTAATCTATACCGTTGATCTAAAGGTCTGCTTATCTATACCCTTGATCTAAAATGTCTGCTAATCCATATCCTTGATCTTAAAGATCTGCTAATCCATACTCTTGATATAAAAGATCTGCTAATATATACCCTTGATCTTAAAGATCTGCTAATCTATACCATTGATCTAAATGTCTGCTTATCTATACCCTTGATCTTAAAGATCTGCTAATCCATATCCTTGATCTAAAAGATCTGCAAATCTATACCCTTGATCTGAAAGATCTGCTAATCCATACTCTTGATCTAAAAGATCTGCTAATCTATACCCTTGATCTTAAAGATCTGCTAATCTATACTCTTGACCTAAAATATCTGCTAATCCATGTCTTTGATCTGAAAGATCTACTATTCCATGACTTTGATCTAAGATTTTCTGATGTAAAATTTTGTTGATCACAAAGGATTTATATGTTTTAACTCTTCCTCTGTATTGATGTAACATTATATCAGACCAGTATATAAGGGTCTTACTGCTGTAGTACTGTTGAAGCATGGATCTAGAACCTGCATATGTACCAGTAACATTCCAACTAACCTTTGGCAACACCACAATCCCTCTGGGAACTCGAAATAAGGAAGTTTTTGGATATACATGATTTGGAAATTATATTCATTGATTTTTCATCTTTTTTTTTGTGGCTGAAGTTCAGTTCTGGAAAAACAATATACAAGATCTTGATAAGATAAAAACAAAAGTTGGATCGGACGATTAGTAAATCATAGTTTCTAACTGAATTCAAATTGTAAAAATTGATATCATAACATTCCCCAATGGCTTTTGCATAATTACTTGTGTCATCATGGCACCCGTTCATAAGATTGCCAAATTATTTGTGTAACTTGCTGTGTCCATATGTGTTCAAACTGGCCGAAGCCTGTCTTCCACACTTGTATAAATGGTTGCCATGCTGTCACTATGGAAGTGAGACTGTATTTGCTGTGAGATTTTTGCGAGATGTTGCTGCTGCTGAACTTCCTGTTCAAAATGGATGCTGATTGGTCGTGTTTCAGTGGAAAATGACGACGTTGTGCGAGATTTTCTCAAGACAATCGTGACCTGACCAATGTGATCACTGAAAGAAAATGGCAGACAGCTCAAACCGAAGTGGTGATGAAAGTTTTTACAGTCAATTTAGTTGATATTTATGTGAGGTTAGTGACAGAAAAAAAAGAAAAAAAATTACAAGAACTTCCTGGAAAATGGATTGTCAGAGTTTGAACAGATGGATCTATTGGATGATTAAGTGAGCAATGATGAAAGTGATCATGTTTTGGATTAATTGCACTTGAAACATTTGTGCAATCTTTCAAAGGATGACTCATGTAACTTAATGGATACATTAAATGGCCTAATTTTGAGTTGGAAAATGGTGCTACAGACCGACTGGCTTTATATATTGCCCACGTAAGTTAATCTATGAAGGGCACAAAGTCATTTGGTCAAAATAAGATTGTATTGGCAGGTCAGTGAGGTAAACAACCTTTTTACAGGTTTTAATTAAGTGCACCTATCTTCTGTTTCCCCCGAAAATGGTGGGAGTGTTCTTATTAGGTTGAATACGGTAATAGATGCTTGGTACGGGGTTAGGGTTGTAAAGGTTTAAGGAGTTGTCCACTCCGTCATTGTAAAATGTTAACGATAGCTCTGACTCGGTCTTTTTGTTTTCTGAAGAAAGACTAATTAGGCATTCACGTGTTTGTGATTAGCATACTTAAGCCTCACAACCTACAAGCATCAGAGTTGAATGGTGGCATAAAGTCAGTTGTATTAGTGTGCTGTTTAAAGCTGCTTTCAGTAAAGCTGATATTTCTTAGAAGATTCCAGGATTTTAATAACGGCATGCTGATATGCATATACATTATAACCTTAAATTGGTGGTCGGGTGGTGCAGTGGATAGCGCAGTTGCCTTTCACCAAGGCGGCCGGGGTTTGATTCCCCGATCGGACGTGAAAAGGTTGTGGTCACCTGCCCGCCCACGTGGGTTTTCTCCAGGTACTCCGGTTTCCTCCCACACTAAGACCCCCCACGCACTAACATCCAGGCCAACAAGACTGATTAATATAAGTTGAAATAACTTGTTTCATAATTGTTGTTAAATAAATAAAGTTTATATTTGTAACCTTAAATTATACTGTGGTACCTCGTATCAGTTAGTCAGACTCAAGATGATGTACTTACATTGTAATACCATAGCTGGATCTTTAAATAATATGAGACTGACATTTAATACATGGCAAAACATATATGGAAATATGCATTGGATATTTGCTATGTAGTTTAGGAGCTGCACAAGTGATTAAAGCAGAAAGAATTACCAATTTACCTTCATCTGGAAAAATTAGAAATTTTATTCAAGAATATTTACCATAGCTTGGGAACTGTCTTATTTAATATAACTATGTATTTTGGAGGACAACACTGTCAGATTTTATGTGTCAATCCATATAATTCACCAGCACTTGGAGGTCAAACAGATCACAATCGGCTCTCCTCTTGATTGATAGTAGAACCACTATTGATTGCAAGCTTTTGTATGACCAAGATCAATAAGATTCAGGACATTGAATCTGTTTGAAAGGATGCACATGCATATACACATGTTTATAATATGTGTCCTAGAACTTTCAGGCTAATTGCACATAAGAGGATGATGTGAGCAAGATAGATTAAATTCTATAATCCAGCTACTTAAAATCTATATATTAAATTCCCTTTCAAAACCTAAGATTTCGGAAATTTATGCATTTGCGGATTTAAAAAAACAAAAATTGTTAATCTTTATTGATGGGATGATATGTTACTTTCCAGATTAATACTTTTGTATATTGTGTAATAAAATCTTTGATAAGTAAATGCAAAAAAAAAAAAATGTTTCATGCAATCCTGGTTGAATCTGAGGATGTACGTACTTCATGTTCATGCTGTGTGCAGAATGGTTTACAGAAAGACTATTGCATTCTTTGAAATTTCATTTTTTTTCTGATTTCAAAAATGTCTGATATCTATATTGACGTTGGCTTTAATTGCTTCCATTATTGCTTGCTTGTCCTTGTCTATCCTTTGTTCTCAGCTGTCAGGTGATCGTGTCTGTTATCATGTGGTAACTGAGTGTGTATCAGGTCACATGTGATCAATGTCACACACACGATCAATTCTCCAGTCACATGATCAATTTTCCACTGTCACATGGGTGTCAACCTGTGAAACCTCCAATGAGGGAGATCTCCCTCATTCCACATTTCCAATGAGGGAGACTAAGTGCGTGAAATGTGACCGAAACTGCTCTGCTCAATTTATCTTTCCCTTTTTATGTATCAAAATAACTCAAAAAAACATTTATTTTGATTCAGACACACCTCAGTTATAGTGATCATTACACACACCTTGCAGTAACTTGGAGATCATTAGACTTTTGATTTATAGTTTATGTGAGTTTGGACTTGAATGAGGGAGTTTCAAGGGAGATTGGTAATTTTTAGTCAAAATGAGGGAGTCCCTCCTAATTAGGGAGGGTTGACAGCTATGGGAGGGAGTCTCCCTCCTAATTAGGGAGGGTGTACAGCTATTGGAGGGAGTCCCTCCTAATTAGGGAGGGTTGACAACTATGGGAGGGAGTCCTCCTAATTAGGGAGGATTGACAGCTATGGGAGGGAGTCCCTCCTAATTAGGGAAGGTTGACAGCTATGGGAGGGAGTCTCCCTACTAATGAGGGAGGGTTGACAGCTATGGGAGGGAGTCCCTCCTAATTAGGGAGGGTGACAGCATAGCCACTGTCACATGATTTCATCCTCATATGTAGTCACACAATTTTTTCTTCACTGTCACAGAACAAAATTAAGTCTTACAGGAACTTGAAAATAAAAAAACTTTTTAAAAAGGATTAATTTCAATGATTTCTTTATGGGGTCATGTTGATTGTTTATGTGTTGTTTTGATTGATAATGATATGCGATTCCAGAATAATAAATTATTTCATTCTGTTTGACAGGTTGAGCTCCTTACCACCCAAGTAAGTACAAATGTTGATTATTGCTATGTCATATGCTTCTATGTGTTAATCTTGTTGTAAAGTTTGTTTTTGAAATAAAAATTGTCTGATTTCATTTAATTTATGTTCTTTGAATCTTATATACATGCAGTAAATAATTGCGAATTATTTTTCAACATTTGATCAGTATGTTATAACCCGTAATTTTCACTGAATTCATGTGAACACAGTATCCTCATGATCACCTTAGAATGATTTATAGATACGGTGGCTGAGCGTTGATGTCCAGGTGTTCATCACTTGTTAGTTCGAAAGTCTTAGTCTAGTAGAACACTTACTATTGTTTTTTCAACAATATTTGAAGTAAGTTTGAGGTAGAGGTATACAAATTGCACTATCTAATAGCATTTTGTGATGAGTTGCTAATGGTGACGTAATTCTATGTGCACAGCTTGGACAAGAGGTGCCGCTGGAAGTGAAAGCTGGCCATGTTGGTGAGTAGGCTTTTTGTTGTGTGAATGCATCATGTTGATGAGGCTTATGTCCACAGCTGGGTAAGAAAGAGATATCGGTTTGAATATACAATTCTACAACATGACTACATTTCTACAGTATGACTGTATTATTACAGCATGACTACATTTCTACAGTATGGCTGTCTTATTACAGCATGACTACATTTATACAATATGGCTGTATTATTACAGCAGGACTACATTTCTACAGTATGAATGTATTATTACAGCATGACTACAGTTCTACAGTATGACTGTATTATGGACAGTATGACTACATATCTACAGTATGGCTGTATTATTTCAGCATGACTACATTTCTACAGAATGGATGTATTATTACAACATGACTAAATTTCTACAGTATGGCTGTATTAGTACAGCATGACTACATTTCTACAGTATAGCTGTATTATTACAGCATGAACACATTTCTCCAGTATGACTTATTACAGCATGACTACATTTCTACAGAATGGCTGTATAATTACAACATGACTACATTTCCACAGAATGGCTGTATTATTACAACGTGACTACATTTCTACAGAATGGCTGTATTATTGCAACATGACTACATTTCTACAAAATGGCTGTATTATTACAACATGAGTACATTTCTACAGTATGGCTGGATTATTACAGCATGACTACATTTATACAGTATGGCTGTATTATTAGAGCAGGACTACATTTCTACAGTATGAATGTATTATTACAGCATGACTACAGTTCTACAGTATGACTGTATTATGGACAGTATGACTACATATCTACAGTATGGCTGTATTATTTCAGCATGACTACATTTCTACAGAATGGCTGTATAATTACAACATGACTACATTTCCACAGAATGGCTGTATTATTACAACGTGACTACATTTCTACAGAATGGCAGTATTATTACAACATGACTACGTTTCTACAGTATGGCTGTATTATTACAGCATTACTACATTTCTACAGTATGGCCGTATTATTACAGCATGACTACAGTTCTACAGTATGACTGTATTATGTACAGCATGTCTAAATATCTACAGTATGGCTGTATTATTAGCTCACCTGGTCCAAAGGACCATGGTGAGCTTATGCCATATCGTGGCGTCCGTCGTCCGTCCGTCCGTCCGTCCGTCAACAATTTCTTTAAACGACTTCTTCTTCTTAACCACTGATTGGAATTTAACTAAATTTGACTGGAAGCATCCCTATGAGGTGGGAATTCAAAATTGTACAAATGGCGGGGCTGACCTCCCAGGGGGCCGAGGGGCAGGGCGAAAAAGGGGCAATTTGGCTAAACTGCTTTAAGCGACTTCTTCTCTGGAACTAAGTGATGGATATCAACCATATTAGACTGGAAGCATCCCTAGGTGGTGGGGATTAAAAATTGTACAAATGGTGGGGCTGACCTCCCAGGGGGCCGAGGGGCAGGGCAAAAAAGGGGCAATTTGGCTAAACTGCTTTAAGCGACTTCTTCTCTGGAACTAAGTGATGGATATGAACCATATTAGACTGGAAGCATCCCTAGGTTGTGAAGATTCAAAATTGTACAAATGGTGGGGCTGACCCCCCAGGGGACTGAGGGGCGGGGCCAAAAAGGGGTTATTTGGCTATATTTCTACAAACAACTTCTTCTGTAGAACTATGGGCTTGATATCAATCATATTTAATCAAAAGCATATATGGGATGCAGGGATTCAAAATTGTACAAATGGTGGGGCTGACCTCCCAGGGGGCTGAGGGGCGGAACCAAAAAGGGTTATTTGGCTATATTGCTTTAAGCGACTTCTTTTCTGGAACTAAGTGATGGATATCAACCATATTAGACTGGAAGCATCCCTAGGTGGTGGGGATTCAAAATTGTACAAATGGTGGGGCTGACCCCCAGAGGGCTGAGGGCGGGGCCAAAAGGGGGCAATTTGGCTA